GGTACTGACACACTCAAGACCTCGTCTTGGGCAAAGTTCTTGATGCACCAAATGTGAGTGCATATATCGAGCCATTTTTGACAGGGATTGTTTGGGAAATTGAGGCCTCGTTTCCAAGTCTCACAGCATGAACGCCATGGGCTACTGCAAAGTACATTCCACCAGGCTGTGGCCTACTGGAGATGTACTCAACTAAGCCATTGATTTCCCACTTGGGCAGTGCATACTTCCCTTCGAGCACTGTTTTCTTTATGTCAGTAGGCTTTGGTTTCTCTTCAAAGTTTCCATTTGGAAGTAGACCTAAGAAAACATAGCAGCAGCAAAACGAAACACTTTTTCAACATCCCATTGGTGCAAACAGAAGGATCTGTGCCCGAACTGTTAAAAACACAATCTCAGACACACACGCGCGCGAACTCACTTGAACTCACTTACTCCACAGGAAGTACATTTTTCCCCAAAATCATGTCCCAGACTCCCAGGACTCGAACCCTCACCACTCTTTGTTGAGAAGGCCCAAAAATTTATAGCAACTATAAAGAATTGATATGTGCAAATGATGCAAAACAAAACCCCATAACAATCGATACAGCAGAGAAACAGGACAAATCATTATACATTTCAAGTAGTGCCAAAGGAAAGAGAGAGACAAACAAAGATCTAGCTTTATTTAAGAACTCTCAATTAAAATGGAAGATTTTTTAGCATTTACCTTCAAAAGGGGCAGGTGCAAGAGCAGAGACTATGTAGAAAATGCAGAGAGAAAGCAGAAAAGAAATCTTCCAACCCGTTTTGTAAAGAAGCTGGAAGGATCTAAGATAAAGAGTATTAGTGCTTCTGCTTTGTATTTATACAGCAAACAGAGCGCCAATTTCTGTGTGAGAAAGTAGGAAATTGTGAAGAAAGAGTGTGGGAACATGATATGGGTAACAACTTACAATTTAGTAGCACTAACATTATTGAAAAAGAAAAACATTATTATTTTTTATTTATTGATTTACATACTACTTATGTACAAGAGGTACTCTAATGTTGAGTGCATAGATTTAATTTTACATTTAAATTATATTGTTGAGTCTAGTAGAATACCATTATGTCCACAAAAAATTAATTAAAATTTATATTAAATTTTCTCCTTAATCCATGGCATGACTTCATGCAATCATATGACTAATTTAATTTTTTAATCATAATTATTTTCTTTACATATTTCTAATGAAGAAATTGTCTTCTTTACATACTTTTTACAGAATGCTTTTATCTTTATGCCATATTCTAAAGAACAAGTTCTACAAGCTTTAAAAAGAAATGAAAAGTTAATTTTAAACTCCTTTTTTTTTTCCCCTCATCGAACATAACTTTAAAAACTACTTTTTATTAACAAACTTCGAAAATTTACTTTAAATTTAGTAAACATGCTCACCTTTTAATCGTTTTACAAGAGGGCAAAGGAAAATAGCAGTTAGAGAATGAGAAAAAAACATTTGTCTTTTGAATACATTATCAATTTAAGTTGAAGAGAAAAAGTAGAGAAAATGTACCAAACGAAATTAAGCCTATTAATGTCAGACCAAATTCTTCTTCATTTTTGTTTTTAGCCAACTGGAATTGGAAAGTATAAGTAACCTTAATAAAGAGTAGATGGAAAAATTAATGCATCCATTATTGAAAGCTAGCCAGCACATAGAGTAGAAAATTATGAGACATAGTTGAACTCAACAAGCACAACAAAATTGACACGTTGAGTACTAATTATTTGAAATAACAAATATCATGAAAAATCATAGTATTTTACTATTATTTGGATATTGTTCGAAAATTGAAGAGAAGAAGAAAAAGAATGATGATACATATGTTCTTAGAGCCTGTTTGTGAGTGATTTTTTTCCCAAAATTTTTACCGTTATTTCACTATTTCAGCAGTTACATTTGACTTCTTCATTCACAGGTGAACCCCACTTTTCTTTTAACGGTCAAAAAATCAATTCTCAAAATCACTCCCAAACAGGCTTTTATATTTCTCTTTTCAGTTTTGTTGGATTTACATTTTCCCAACAATACAAATGCACCTTACATTTCGATCTTTGGATTTTAACCCAATATGATTTTTTTTTCTAGTTCATTTAGTTTAGTAAAATTGACGTCAATTGACTAATTTATTTGTGGATTGATCTATTAACTTCTTAATCGGATATTATCGATGGTCGAGTAAAAATTATATTCAAACGAATATTTGTATTTAGACTATTAATTTTTTGGAGGGTTGCAATATATATATTATATATGACTTGTTTAAATAAATTGAACTCAGCTTTTTATTAATGAAATTAAACAAGTTGGGGGACCATTTCCAATTGTTTTTCCAACTTTTGTTATGAGCATGTTCAAATGTTTGTCGAATTCGGGACCCTATAAACCCTGGAAATTGGGTGAAATTACACTCGTTATTATTTCATCAGGTCTAAAGAATCATAATTGTTGACGTGATTTACTCTTTAGATTTCAATTCAGCCATGTTAGGTCTTGACTCGGACCAATGGTTTGTTTTGATTTTTTCGAAATTTGCATTTTTTATCCAATGTCCAAATTAAAATTTATCTTCTACACCATATTTAAAAATGGCGAAATGCTTCGCTCCTATTTGGTTAAGTTAAAAATATATCAAAATTTTAATTTTTAGTTAAATTGGATAGGGGTTAATTTCAAATTGAAAATAAAGAAAACAGGAGAGTCATAAACTGTCCTTGGGGCTCCCTGACCTGCCTAGGGCTTATATATATATATGGATAGCATGGAATATATATATATATATTTTTTTTTTTTTTTTTTAAATTAAAATTTGATTGGTTAAAAAGTTGACAAATTTTATCAAAGCTTTATCAAACAAAAATACTAAAGTAATATAAAATATTTAAATATTACTCTCTCTCGCAAACCCTTACCTTGCCTACCCTTATTGCCTTTATCGTCCATGTAAAAAGTTGAGTGATTCAATTAAATTTTAGGATAATTGTAGCAAAAGTTCTAAATTTTTGAAGCACCAGCAGATTTTTTTCAAACCTTTGATTTGTTCTAATCGTCACCCCTAACCTTTCAAAACGTTGCAGTTAAAGCCTTTTTGGATAGTTTCTATCTACAATTCCATTAGTTGATCAAAAATTTAATTTTGACAACATTTTTAATATTTAAAAAGGGTAAAAGAGTAACTTTCCATCTATGCTTTAATATTCTATATATTCAATTTTGCAATTTATTGTAAATTGTAAACAACTTATTTTCTACGGGCATAATTTTATACGGCACATTATGCGCACATCCATATGTTTAGGTTGTAAATTACCTATTCTTGTCATCATAGAATTTCATGGATTTGGTATTAATTAATCGGCCGTTTTGAGGGAAAAAGGGGGGCGAGGGGGGAATCCACATATTGTTAGTCTAATTTTTCGCCTTGCATTTTCTATATATTTTGGTTAGATTTTTTGTTCACTGTCCCAGCTTCCAATGCCATATTGCAAGCGTTCGATTCTTTCCATTTGATTTTTCAGAATGAAACTGCTGTATGTGTCAAGAATAAATTTGTGCTATGTCTTCGGTATATTTGAACATAGATGTAATGTATACAACACATTGATTTAGTAATGTAAATTTTATTTATTTTTTAGTTTATTGCGGTTTATAAACTTGATAATCTTGACTGTAGCAAATTAAAAATTTGAAAAAAGTATGCTAATGTTTCAAAGATTTGAGATTTTTTTGGCAATTATCCCTTAAATTTTGGCTGAAGGCTGGATTGATCACAACTTATATCTAAAGTTTTATTTATTTACTTTTTTTTTCCAGAAACAAACAAAAGAAGCAAGAAAATGATAGAGGAAGCAGCACAGAAACCAACACTTGTGCTTTTTCTCCGATCAATTATTGTCTCCGTGTGAATTGATAAGTGACCCCACTATTATCAACACTTGTAGATAGCTTTCTCTGTTTGTGAAACGACCACCACAACTTGAAAATTTCGTTTCATTTCTATTCAAGAAGTTAAACTCTCTTTCATTCACTCTTTCATCTATTGTTTCCTTTCTTGAGAAAAAAAAGATAACAAAAATGGCTATTGGAGAAGTTTTTATTGGCGCACTAATTACTGTATTGATTGACAAGTTGGCCTCTGGCGAGCTAATGAAATTTCTGCGTGGAGTAGGAATCGATGCCCAGCTGAAAGAATGGCGTAGAAAATTGTTGATGATGAGAGCAGTGCTTACTGATGCTGAAAACAAGCAAACGGCGGAGATAACTGTGAAGGAGTGGCTGCACAATCTGGAGAATTTGGCTTATGATCTGGAGGACCTAGTGGATGAGTTGAACACTAAAGCTTCCCTGCACAAAATAAGGAAAATTCATCAAGCCAACAGGCCAAGCACTAGTATGGTACGGAAGCTTATTCCCTCTTGTTGTACTAATTTCTCTTTCCATGATTTTATGTCCGATCACAGGATGGCTTCCGAGCTGAAAGTGATTAGTTGTCGATTGGAAACTCTAATGAAAGAGCTTAGTACCCTCGAATTGGTCAAGAATGTGAGCGAAATGCCTTACAAAACAACAAAAAGGTTGGATCTGACTTCAGTTGTTGAAGAATCTGAAGTATATGGCAGGGAAAAGGACAAAGAGAATATACTCAATATGTTGTTGGGGGGAGAATCAAGTAATCATCCAATATCTGTGATTCCAATAGTGGGCATGGGAGGTGTCGGCAAAACAACTCTTGCACAACTTGTGTACAATGATGACAGAGTAAAGGATGAGTTTGATCTGAAGGCGTGGGCTTGCGTTTCCGATCAATTTGATGCTTTAATGGTTACAAAAACCATTCTTAATCAGGTTTCCCCTAGAAGGTACGACGACGATGATTTTAACACACTTCAGGTGAAACTAAAGCAAAATCTGTCAAACAAGAAATTTCTATTAGTTTTAGATGATGTTTGGAACGAAAATTTTGAAGATTGGGACATCCTAAAGCGTCCATTCCTGGCTAGCAAACCTGGAAGCAAAATCATCGTTACAACTCGTCAGCATTCGGTGGTGCAAAACATGACTCATAGACCAGCCTATGATTTGAATGTGCTGTCGGGTACTGATGCTTTATCATTGTTGGCTCAACATGCACTTGAAGCCAAAACTTTTGATGCACGTCCAGATCTAAGAGATATTGGTAGGGCCGTCGTGAAAAGATGTGAAAACTTGCCACTGGCAGTGAAGGCACTTGGAGGGCTTCTACGAACAATGGTTAGTCCTAATGAATGGGAGGATGTATTGAATAGTGAGATTTGGATAGCAGAAGACAAAAGTAAAATTCTTCCTTCTTTAAAACTGAGTTACCAATATCTGCGTCCAGAGCTGAAAAGATGCTTTGCTTACTGTGCTCTGTTTCCTAGAGACTACGAGTTTGACAAATCCAGGCTAGTGTACCTTTGGATAGCAGAAGGTTTTTTACAAGTGTCACAAAGAGAAATGCCAACACAAGTAGGCAGTAAATATTTTGAGGAACTCTTCCTGAGGTCATTCTTCCAAAAGTCAAGTGCCGATGCTTCTTACTATGTGATGCATGACCTCCTTAATGATCTAGCTAAATTTGTTGCTGGTGACAAATGTTTGAGGATGGACGATGAGTCGCAGGAAAATCTTCCCAGCAACATTTCTGAAAATCTCCGTCATTTGTCATTCATTCGCCATGAATATGAATTGTACCAAAGATTTAATTTTGTGAAGGAAGGTCGAAGCTTAAGAACATTTTTGCCCCTACCCATTCAGAACAAATATCCCAAAAAATTCTTTCCCCAAAGAGTTTTGCATGACATATTGCCGAAATTGCACTGCTTAAGAGTGCTATCGTTAAATGGTTATTTTATATATGAGTTGCCAAATTCTGTTGGTGATTTAAAACATTTACGGTACCTAGACCTAACTAGAACTTTATTGAAGTGCTTGCCTGAATCTGTGACCAATCTTATCAATTTACAAGTGTTGATTCTGAGAGAATGCCAGAGACTTACAAAATTACCTGCCAGCATGGAAAATCTAATTAATCTTTTCTATCTGGACATTGATAGTACTGGAAAATTAATTGAGATGCCTCAAGGAATCGCACAACTAAAAAGTTTGCAGACATTACCCAAGATGATTGTGAGTAAAAGCAGTGGGATGAGGTTAAATGACTTGGGGAATCTATCACTTCTACAAGGTCAAATTTCTATTGAGGAATTGCAAAATGTGGTAAATGTTCAGGAAGCAATTGATGCGAGCCTAACGTATAATCCAAGCCTTAAAAAAGTAAGGTTGGCATGGAGTAACGAGTTTGGTGATTCCCGAAATGAAATTCTGGAACTCGACGTGTTTAATGCTTTAAAGCCTCATTATAACTTAGAAAGTCTTGAAATTGATTTTTATGGAGGTTCAAAATTCTCTAATTGGATTGGAGATTTATCGTTCAGAAATTTGAAAGAGATAAGCTTAAGTTGTTGTGGAAATTGCACGACTTTACCGTCGTTAGGGCAACTACCTTCCTTAAGAGAATTGAGCATTAGTGGGATGAATCGAGTAAAAGTGATAGGAGCTGAATTTTATGGAAATAAAGGCCCTTTTCCAGCGCTAGAGAGGCTGACTTTTGAGGACATGCTAGATTGGGAGGAATGGCTTGGATTAACACATGAAGTAGAAGGTATTGTCAGATTTCCTCAGCTCTCTAAATTATGCATACGACGATGTCCCAAATTGGTCAAGTTACCGATTCCCTCACTGCCATCCCTTTGTGAATTGAGCATTGGAGGGATGGATCGAGTAAAAGTGATAGGAGCTGAATTTTATGGAGATAAAGGCCCTTTTCCGGCGCTAGAGAGGCTGACTATTGAAGACATGCCAGATTGGGAGGAATGGCTTGGATTAACACATGAAGTAGAATGTATTGTCAGATTTCCTCTGCTCTCTAAATTGTGCATACGACGATGTCCCAAATTGGTCAGGTTCCCGATTCCCTCACTGCCATCCCTTTGTGAATTGAGCATTGGAGGGATGGATCAAGTAAAAGTGATAGGAGCTGAATTTTATGGAGATAAAGACCCTTTTCCAGCGCTAGAGAGGCTGACTTTTGAGGACATGCCAAATTGGGAGGAATGGCTTGGATTAACACATGAAGTAGAAGGTATTGTCAGATTTCCTCAGCTCTCTGAATTGTGCATACGACAATGTCCAAAATTGGTCAAGTTACCAATTCTCTCATTGCCATCTCTTCGTGAACTACTAGCATATGAGTGTAATGAGGTGGTGCTAAGTCATATGTACAATCTGAAATCTTTAACCAAATTAAATTTGGGGAAAATTTTTAGATTGACTTCAGTTTCAAAAGCATTTATGCAGTTTCCTTTTGCACTTGAAAATTTGGAAGTTCGTGAATGTAATGACCTTGAGACTCTATGGCCAAGTGATCGTGTTGCTCAAAGCCTAGTCAACCTACGACGGTTGTCTGTTGACAGGTGTCCTAAGCTCTTGACCCTTAGAGACATTGATGCTCTTCCAGTTCTTAGAGACCTTCACATATGGCAATGTGAATCTCTAGAGTTCGTTCCCAATAGCATGTCTTGTCTAGTAAAATTAGAAATCATGAATTGTTCCTCATTGAAGACCATGATGAAGCTACAAGATTGCAACACCTCACTTAAATTTCTTTTGGTCGGAAAGCGGGTGAATTTTAATTTGACAAATTTACTGGGATCAGTTCACAATTACACAAGTCTCCAACAGTTATATATATTTGCATGTGATGATTTGGAGTCGTTTCCCCCTGGAGGCTTGCCCACTCCCAATTTAAAAATTCTTCACATAGATGATTGTCAACAATTGAAGTCCTTACCTGATCGGATGGAACTAATTTCATCCCTTGAAGAGCTGTCAGTATCGCGTTGTCCTTTAGTAGTAGAGCCCTTTCCCCAAAGGAAATTTCCTCCAAATATGACGGTTCTTTCATTCTATAATTGTGGGAATCTAAAACCCCTGGGGGAGTGGGGCTTACACAAAATCACCTCTCTTGAAAATATCAAATTGCGTTGTTGCTATCAAGAGCTGGTTTCCTTCTCTGATGACGACAATGATAATGATAACAACCATTTGCTTCCTCCATCTATAAGGGCATTGTACTTGTCTGACTTGCCCAATCTAGAAAGTCTATCAAAGGGCTTCCAAAACCTCACATCACTTCGGCATTTATCAATCGACCGCTGTCAAAAACTTGGGGCGTTGCCTATGGAAGACCAGCTTGACAGGCTTTGGAGTCTTCGTATTTATGAGTGCCTGCTTCTTAAAAAACGGTGTTTGAAGAACAAAGGAGACTACTGGCCAATCATCGCTGACATTCCCGACATTCAAATTGATTACATTTCTGTCCATGATCCAGATCAATGTTCATGAAACCCTCAAGTAACAAATACAATTTGCTGAAACAAACAACACAATTTCGACTTTCCCGAAGAAATTATATCACACGGTTAGTGTAGTAACTGCAGTTTCTTTAGCAAATTAATTGTTAATTTTTTCAGGAAAATGCATACTTATCATATAATGATGCATAGTAATTGATAATTATACGTGACACATTGTTTTATTTCCAATTTATTGGATAATAAATTTGATATGTTTTTAATGAGAAACATTTCAAAATTGTTTTGAAACTTTTATGTAGAACTCCAACTCCAAGCGTGTCAAGTTCAATTATTCATTATTTGCTTAGCTAAACGAATGACTGTGACATAGCCTACTTAGCTAGCTATAATCATGCATAAATGTTTTACTCAATCAATTTCCTTTTCCCTATGTTGTCATATAATTCTGCTCAAACTCTGTTTTCCAGTTATGTTCCTACTGAATTCTGTTATTTTCCTTCTTGTTCATTTTAATTCGTCTTCCAAGTTACTGCATATGTAATTTCCCATTTTTATTGTTCCTTGCTTTATCTTTCTCTTCTGCAGAATCATAATAGTATAAGTTTGATAGATCATCAGTTTTCTTACTCAAATAGTGGTCTGGTTATAATCCGTCGCTCCTTTTTACATCAAAACCTCGGACTAAATTTGATAGAAATTTTTGAAATATCTTATTTCAAACTTTAAGCTGTTAGAGAGGTGCGGAAATTTATTTATTTTATCTACATACCTTCAGGGCATGTGATGCAGACAGATATTTTTTCTTCAAAGATGTGGCACCTATAGTTTTAAGGAGGCTAGACTAGAACAAAGATATCTATATACTTGAATACAATGTTCAATCACCTAAAATTACTTTGTTACAGAAAGCAATCATTATTATTTTTCTCTCTTTAGTAGGAAACACATATTAAGAAGGAAATGGATGGGAAAAACATACAATTTATGCACTATCTCTTTGAGATTTATTAGTTGATAAGTTTATTTGCAATACTTATTATTGTTTCTTGATTTTTGTGCAGTCTTTTCATCATCAGAAGCTCCTTGCTCATCTGGATGCAAAAACATGTTGTTTCTGCTGAAAAGAGAAGCAAAAGAGAGAATTCTAAACCTCTTATGAACAACTGATTAGTGTCTGGTCCTTCATTGCCAAACAAGTCTGAGGTTCACAGATTAATTGGAGGCTCTTAGCTCATCATTGTCTTAAACATTATTCTGTTCGTTGGTATACAGCGTTACTACTCGAATTTGCGGTTTCTTGAATGACTGAGAATGAAATATTTTTAATCTAAACTACTATGTTTATATGGCCATAGGAACTTCTTCAAGGTCCCTTTTTAGGGCAACTCAGATGTGGAAAGTAGAGAATATTTTGAAGGTTAGTTCCTCAAATTTATGGCCCACTATATGTTCCTCAAACATGCTGCAAATTATTGTTTGTTTCTTCTCTTTAGATCCTGTAATTGCAGAAAGCCATGGCAGAGGGGCAACAAACGTTTATTAACTCGAATTGGAAAGTAAGTACATAAGAAACTTATGCTATTTTTCATACAGCGAGATTTATTTTATTTTTTGTGTGTGAGTTTAGAATTGGCAAAAAGAATTGACCCTCTCTTTTTCTATATTAGTTCTAATTGATGTGGAGTATGAACCATTGTTCCTGAAAGAGGAGAAAACGGCTTCGGTAAACCATGTCTACCTTACTTTACTATTTTCTATCTTCTATTTATAAATGTGGAAACCTTATTCTTATTCTTTTCAGCAAATTAAGAGGGACAACCTTAACATCAAGAGAATTCTGGTGCTACTGTCTGTATGGATTTGTTTCTTGCTTCTTCAAATGTTCAAGGCAGGTGAATTGCATCCCTTTCCTATCTAAACTTGTATGACATGTTTGATAAGGCAAATTGAGTAGTCTTGGATGATATTCTTGTCCCTTCATATCTAATACTATATATCAAACAAACTAGTAACATTGTGTTTTCGTGTTATTCATGCTGATCAATAAATATGAATGTTGGTCTACAGAATGATTTGAGATCTTGTACTCCATTGTACTGGGTTTCATGAATGGCCCAACTTACAACTCAATAATCTATATCGCGCTTTGTATATCTTTCATTGTGAGCTCCAGTTGGCTAATTTGGATCCTATTTAGCGGTCTACATCAGCTGGATTTCATGGCTTGCTGTTTACATCATATTTGACATAAACATTGTTTCTATTATTACACGAGTTAGAAAGAGAGGGCAGCATGGCGAACCATCATCTAGTGACAAATTTTTCTTCGAGTAATTCCAGGAACATTTATTGTCAGTTGAAGCCAATGTTGTTGATAAGTGTACATAACTTATCTATATTGTTCGAGTACCTGTTGATTTTTATCATGTTTTTATGTCTTAGGGGTGGTCCCGAGCTTCGAAAGCACGTTGGCGAATAATGGAGCAAAAATGAGTGTTATACACCGAAAGGGGGACAATTTAAAGGGTACCATGGGAAGATACAAGGATTTCCATTTGGCATATAATATATTATGGGAAAGATATCCAATATGGAGTCTAACGCAAAAAGATGGGTTGCAAATCAGAGTTGTAGATAAAATGTTATGCGAAACTAGAGTTGGACTGCAGAGACGAGTACAAGCGGCTACCGGTGTAAGGTGGTGGCGCAAGTTGAAGCATCACTGGTTCAAGTTAGCGGCACCAAACTTTGTGGGTGGTCTCGGGCTGGTGATTCTGGTGTTTTGGCATGATTTTCAAGGAAATCTATTTAACCCAATGAATAGTCAATTTGTTTATTGCTTAAATGATGTGTAATTAAACTTATTTGTTAGGATAATCGACGAAGCCTAATTTTGAAGAAATAGCTCTGATATTGTAAAAAGTGCACGTCTTTACCAGCACTAGAGTATTTACCCTTGTGTAGAGACTTGAGCATGAATCAATTAAAAGTAATTATAGAGGAATTTTATGGAAATATGTGTTGTGTAGATTTACCATCCAAATCACTGGAGGCTCTGATTTTTTAGGACATGCCAGGATTGGAGGAATGGCTTGGATTAACACTTGAAGTGGATGGGGAAATTAAATTCCCGAAGATGTATAAATTGTGCATAAAAGAACGTCGCAAATTTATAAAGCTTCCAAAATTGTTACTTCTGATAGAAGGGTATAGTGAAGAGGTGTTAAATGGTATGCACAATTTAACCACCCTAACCAATTTAAAATTGAAGAATATAACTGGTATGACTTCAATTATCAATGCATTCATGCAACTTGAAAATTTTGAAAATTGATGATTGTAAGGACCTACTGACTCTGTGGGCAAATGATAATATTGTGCAAAGCCTAGTAAAACTACTAACATTCGAGGTTAATTGATGTCCTCGACTTTCGTCCATTGCAAAAATTGGCGTTCTTCCTACAATTGATCATCTCCTTATAAAGAATTGTGCAACTTGGGAGATGTTCCCAATAGCATATCTTCATGTATATTATTGTATATTGAAAATTGTCCATCCTTGAAAATAGTGATGTTACATAATTGTTAATCTCTCAATTAAAGAACTTCATATCAACTATTGGGTGATTTTGAATGTTACCAAATTACATGGGTCTGTTTGAAATTACTCAAGTCTTGGAAGACTACTAATTGATTTATGTGATAGTCTGGAGTTGTTTCCTGAGGAGGCTTCCTCACTCCTAATTTGAGATGGCATTGGATCATTAATTGTATTTCAAGTACTTATCTAACCGGATGAAACTACTCTTGTCCCTTAAATGACCGTGTTGAGTAATTTGCCTTCATTAGTAGAGCACTTCCCCCAAAAGGGAATATCTCCATCAATCTAAATTGTCTTGGATTAATAACTATTGAAAAACTAAAGCCTTGACTCAATAGGACTTATACAAACTCACGTCTCTTAAAGCATTCAGCTTGCATGGTGGATTTCTAGAGATTGTTTCTTCCTCTAACATGATAATGATAATGATAATGATAATGATAATGATAATGATAATGATAATGATCAATACTATTTGCTTCCCACCATCTCTAATTCAATAGAGCTTGCATAATGTTAGTCCCACATCAACGTTTTTTAACCCCGAATTCCTAAACAAAACTTGCAAAAAATTAAAGATTTAATACAAGAATTTTCACCTATTAATGGATCCCAAATATTCACGTTCTTGTAAATGCTACTCACCAATTGAGCATATACAAAGTAGATTAGGCTCTGATACTAGAAATCGAATCAAGAATTGTTCAATACAAATATTCAGAGAGGGTATCTTCGAAGGAACCCTGAGATTTCTTCTTATTAGATTTTATTGTATTGGCAGTTCTTTAGACAAAAAGAACTAATGTAAAACGTTGTAAAAGTCAAGAAGTAAGTTGCAATGTTATATAGATGAAACAGGTTACTTGGAATTGGAGTTTGGACAAAAAGGAAAGAGCCGCCAGATTTATACTAGCCTATTACCCATCTGATGCTCGAGTGAAAAAAATTGAAACACTGTTGCCCTTCTCTCATTGAGCTCTCGCTCGAGCGATATACTCGCTGCTCGCCTATCATTAGCTTGGCACTCGAGTAACGGTGTTATGCTCAAAAACCCTAGTTCATATTTTTCAAGAGTTTTAACCTGCCCATACTACCTAAATGTCTTGTACTATATATTCTCAATCCCTAACACAAATTTTCGGGTGATTGTTCATTGTATTCCTTCTACATAACATCTATCAAAGATTCAAGAACATATTCAAGCCTTTGATTAATCCATTGATTTTCGAGTTCGAACAACCACATATTTGGAAACAACATCAAGATCTCATAATCCAAAACACATTTTTAGGGGTTGTTGAAGAATTAAGGGAGGTTTGACCAGAAACACAGAAATAGTTCAAGAAAAAGATGTTCTTGTTAATCCACATAAAATAGACAATTCTAGAAGATTGGGATCAGGTATGAGTAAAGCACATTTCATAGGGTCTTGAAAATTGCAAGAAGTAGATTGACGAGTCTAGTGGGTTTTCTAAGTTGAATCATATTGTAAATTAATTATTTTCTATAGTGGAATTTACTAGCTTGGTCCTTAAATTTTTACTTAGTTGGATTTTATCCATCAACAATTCTTGTGATCTTTACTGCTTTTATATTACAAATTGTGGCAATTCCGCATAGAATAATTTGACTTGTTTGCTTAACAATCTAGAAACAACTAAAAAGTGATTTTTTGCTTTTAATTGATAACTTCTGCATGTTGGGTTTAAATAAATAACTAAATCGGCTAATTAGAACTTTCATTTCTACTTCTCTCTAAAAGAGCTTTACGCTGTATGTGTATTGGTGAAAGGCTACTCAACATATTTATTCAATTTTGTTAATATATATAGTATAGAATATACAAGAATGGATAGCTACAAATCAACACATGATTGAAGGCCACAAATCATATTATTGGCTGGCATTCTGATTTTGTGCTAATTGCATGATTTGGCATACCGACTTTGTGCTAATTTAATGACTTTAGATACAGATACATTTATGTCCCGCAAGATGGAATTACTGTTGACTAGTTCAATTTTATTTTGTAACAAGGTGGTCCATGAACTAAAGGGATGTTTAGTAAGGAGGTCAGACAATTGATATTGGGTATTGACATGTCGAACTTGTAACTTGTCTTGTTCAACAAGATAATGGAAAAAGTGACTTAAAATTTTATTTTTGTTAAGAAAATGTCAAGACAGCGACAAAACCAGGACTATGGTCATCAGAGATTTGTTGAGGGCTATATAAGATCTGGGTAGACAACAAGCACAAGCTGGTCTCCAAAATGCAAATGCTACCAACACCAGTTCAATTTTTGAACAGTTATATCAGTATTAACCCCCAAACTTCAATGGCAAGGTAGACCCATGGACAGCTGAAGAATAGATAACAGGAATAGAGTGAATCTTCAAACATGATGCTCAGAAAGTATTAAGTGTGGAGTTTATGTTTGTTGATGCAGCAGGCCATTAATGGGAGTCTGCTTTGCACACTGGAACTGAAGCACAATGACGTGCTTTAACTTGGACACAATTCAAAAAAAAAAGTGATGAAAAAATACTTTCGATAAGCCCTAAGAAATCGAAAGAAGACACAGTTTCTTCAAGCTAAACTAGGGAAGATGAAGCTTAAGGAAAGGAGCTAAAGTTCAAACAACTCTCTACGTACACATCGCAACAACTAGACACAGAGGCAAAGAAAAGAGGGATATTTGAACTAGGACTTTGCCCCGAAATTGGAGGAATAATGACATCCCACCAATTTACCACATATAGTCAGATTTTGCAAACTGTCCAGACAATCTCAGACAAATTAGAGATTGACAAACTTTTTAGCAAGGTATTGAGTCTTTAGGAAAGCGAAAATGGAACGAATCCAACAAAGAGAAAGGAGGACAGAACAAGAAATTTAACATCGATCAAGTTTTGGACAAGTTGTTTTGTCCTATCAAAAGTGTAATAGGATGCATAGGACTATTTGGGAAACATGTGTTGTCAATGCAGCAAGACATGTTATATTTCAAAAAACTATAGAGAAGATCCCTCGAATAAAGGTAATGAGCAAGAAAAGAAAGGGAAGACCAGAGTTTTTGCTTTAATTCAAGATAGGGCAATAAAGGAACCGAATATAGGTAATTTCGAGGACGAAATTCTTTTTAGGAAGGAAGATTGAAATTCCTGAAAATTTTAGAATAAAATTTATTTGTTCTATATAATATATTTTTATATTTTGAAAAAAGTTAAATGACTAGAGTGAAATATGTTTTAAATTCTTATATTTTGGGGTTAAATGATTAAATTTTGATAAAACGAGATTTAGTGTATTGACATTGGACTTTTTTTGAAGCTTGTGATTAATTTGAAGTCGTTGACTCAAGAAAAAGTTAATTTGGATAAGTTATGCCAAAGATATTGAAGTCCAAAGATGTTCCATTTATTTGAAAATTCTAATTCTATTTTTTAATTGTGATAAATGTTCACTTAATCCTTTTGCAAGCTATTTACACGTGATTGGTAGGAAACCATTAATCGAATACAATTCTTATTCCTAAAGTACAATTTATTCTTACCTAAAGACTACTTTTGATGCCAAATTTAATTCAATTTCTAGCACTATGTGATTCCCTACTTTACAATCTTGGAGGCCATAGTGATGCGGATTGGGCAGGGAATGTAGACTGTGTTTACATAGGCAACAACTTGATTGCTTATTTGCCAAAAAAATATAATTAAATTTTAGTACATTGCTGTTGGAAGGTGCTGTACTCAGTTGCTTTGGAAGACTATTGCCAAGACACATTGAGAACCTTAGCTGGATAAATTCGACTTAAAGAGATAGTTTTAAACACTAGCCTCAGTTTACAAATCTGTTACTTTGTCTTCATTTCTTTTTGTCATTTCAAATAAGTAGTTTAGATTGTTTTACTTATTCAAAATATAATTCGCAAATTCACACACATACACCAACAAAAATACATGTGGACAAATGTTGCTACCACTTCTCCAAATCTTTTGTTCTCCAGTCATATTTTCTACAAATCTACAGGTACAAATTGACACTAATTTGTAAGGTTGTGTTAGTCAAGCTAATTAATGTTCCATAGGTCAGGAATCTTTCCATGTTAATCCAAGTAGTCGACCTTTTGTTGTGTTATTCAAGCTAATTGCCCAACTTGCCTTAATCGATATGTGTACTTCCTAAATTTGAAACCAGTTGGATAATGGTCTTCCAGTAGATCAATCCTCGTCGAATTTTTTGGATAACACGTCCTTGAAGTTTGACTGATCCTGTGCACGAATATTGAATTAATACGTATCAGAGTGAAAAATGTAACTTTTTGAAACTATTTGTATATCTCCGACTCCTGAGTGTTGGATCTTTTTCAATCTTAACCATTTCTGAGAAAAAACCTTTGATTTGCCCCTGA